GAATATGCTATATAATCATATTCAGTGATTTCATAACTGGAACATTTTTTTTTACAGAGAGAATGGACATAATAAGAGAGATGTTACAGTGGTGTTTTATATACATCACATAATTGATGAAGTGTATTCAAGGCTCCTTCCAGTTCTGAAATTGATGTAAATTCTTGATACTTCAGCCCAGTGAAATATTGTTTGGGACACTAGTGTCCCTAGGCTTAGAGAGAACATTTTCTGAAAGATGTCCATGTGGTTGGTTGGGGAAATAAAAGGTAGATTACAGTTCTAAATTAAACCTTAAAAGGATAATTTAAGAAAAAATGTTAAATTCAAAAGCAGAGTACACTATATGTTGACAGGTTTAATATGAAAAGATCTGCGAGTATAAATACGTTATAAAGAACAATAAAGAGGAAGAAGAAACTTTAATAAGATTCTCAACAAATAAAACAAAATAAAATATTGGAAATAAACAAGAGTTATGTGCAAGATTGCTTCTCACATAAAATACTTTTAAACAAGGTTGTATATAATTCAGTTGTGAAAGCACACACTCATAAACACATGTATAGTAATGACAGCTATCAGTCTATAGCAGGGATGTCTATAGCAGGGATGTAAGATGGAGTGATTTTTATTAATATATTCATAGCATACAGTTGAATGGCTTTAATGAATAAACAATGTGGATGATATGGTCTTTGAATTCTTTTTTCTACTTGTATGTAAGAATATAGGATAATGTACAATCCAACAGCCTTTAAGTAACTCATGATTCATGAATTTCTACTAAAAATTTTAGTAAAGGTTAAACCTACTATTAAGATTTCAACAGGCACCCAGATGAGATAGTATTCTGTGTTTTTGAGTTAGAAGATATATTTCAGATTTCTGGTTCTACTGAGGTAGTAGATTAATGTTAAATTTCCCAAAGCTTTGCTCTAGGTGTGTCACAGCCACACGCCCCCATGTCTGCAACAGTGGTGGTCAAATTTTTCTTCCTCAGTACAGTTCATATGCACAGTACACTTCCCCAGGAATAATATCTTTCTTTTCACCATCCTTTTTGAAAATCCGTGGCCTATCTGAATACCAGCTATAGATGGTTATTTAGTCCTTCCACATTGTGTAAATAAAATAAAATAATAAAATAAAAATACAATAAGAAATTTAAGATTTATCTTTCATTACTTTCTTATACTTAGACCTGTAGGTTAGTCAGATATATCTTCCTTCTAGTCCCTTACCCACTATCCCATATTCAATTTTCTTTGCATGGTACCTTTATCAACTCCTACCTGTTGTACTCCTTATCTTTCCTTTACTCCTGAAAGTCAGCATCACTGCCTTTCTAATATCCTAATCATCCCATGATCACAGTCACCTTTAAACTTCATAGCATCTTATACCTTTCATGTAGTGTACTTTGAATTAAAATTATTTGCATACTTGACCTGACCTTTTGTTAGATTATGATTCCTTTACTGCAGTTTCCCTTTGTATCATTGGAAGAACAGTATGCATGCATTGCTAAGCATTGCATAAATACTTATTTTAAATCTAATTTGTGATGAATAGAAATTACTCAGCAAAAGACATCATGGTGTGGGGGAAGGAGCTCTGTCTAGGAGATTAACCTCTGCCACTGTAGCCACGTGTGGAGCCTTGGGACAAATTACATCACTGTAATTTCTTAACTTTAAAATGAAAGAGTAGGTAGTTCTGGTCAAGATGGTGGAATAGAAGGTCCACAGTGTCCCTCTCTCCTACAAATCAGCCAATTTACAACTATAAAAATGTAACATCATCCAAGCTGGGGCTGTTGGAGCTCAGGGGAAGAGGAGGAGAGACCTGCAGAGTTCATGAATACAGGAGAAACCACAATTAGAGAAAGAAAAATCTGCTCTGAGTGTTTCAGGCCATGGCCACTTTAATGCTGGAACTGCAGAGCACATGGAGCAGGAGCCAGCAGAAGCCACAGCTGTACCCTTCAGATGGAATTACTTGGAGGTGGCAGGGGAGAAAAGGGCCTTGGTGGCCCTCAGAACAGCAAGATCACTAATAGCGTTCCCGTGGACACATGCAGGAGAGCAAGGAGCCAGAACAACTGAAAAAAGGGAGCCATTCAGAGGCCAGTCATTCATTGCAAGGGATGGCACAGGGCACGTCCCATGGGAAGTGTTTGGAGCATGGGCAGTGGGGGAGACAGGCCCACCAGGAGAACACTGGGACATAGCAAGGACAGCCAACCCACCCCCCAATCAGTGCAGGACCACTCAGAGAAGACTGGTTGGGAATGCAGAATTGCATGGGGTGTAGTTTGATGAAAAAACTCAGGCCCAGATCAGAATTTCTATACAACCCAGATCCACTGGGTCTCTGGAGAGCCAGAAGTACCTATAAGGTCAACCATTAAACCCTGAGCTGCACAAAAAGCCTTACCTAGGGAATCAGCAGCAAAACAGCTATTTAGCTCAACCACACAGTTCAAGTACTGGTTCCCATAGGAAGTTCCCCTGTTTTAGAAGTAAGCAAAGGACAAAAAATTTGTTCTGGCCAAGGCATACCACCAGCGCCTTGGGGCCTGCCTGGGAACCAGAGGCTTGGAGCCAGGGACTGGACCCCACTCCCACATCCAGGCACAGCCCGCCAGTGCCTCAGGGCCTGCCTGGGGACCCTAGGCATGGAGAAGGGGACCAGACCTCCCTCCCACAACCAGGCACACCATGGCAGCACCTCAGGGCCTGCCCAGACCCGAGGCATGGAGAAGGGGACCAGACCCCCTCGCACAAGCAGGCACACCACGCCAGTGCGTCCAGGCACTCCCGGGGGACCTTAGGCATGGAGAAGGGGACTGGACCCCCCTCCTACAAGCAGGCACACCATGTCAACACCTCGGGGCCCACCCAATGCCCCGAGGCATGGAGTCGAGGACTGGAGCCCCTTCCCATAACCAGGCACGTTGCCAGCGCCTCGGGGCCCACAAGGCTTGGAGCTGGGGACTGGACTTCTCTCCCAGAAACAGGCACACTGTGCCAGCACCTTGGGTCCCGCCCAGTGACCTGAGGCATGGAGCCGGGGACCCAAGGCATAGAGCTCAGGACCAGGCACACCCCACAAGCAGGCATACCGCCAGTGCCAAGGAGCATGCCGAAAACATCATCTCCATGTGCATGGCCCACCACAGCCACCACAATAACCTAGGTTGCTGCAAATGTGGCTAGATGCCACAACCACCACACAGATGGTCCACCAGCCACTGGAGTGCATTGACACAAGGAGAGTCAACAGCAGAGATAAAGAAAAAGAAGAGGATGTCTCTCTCCACAAAGCTCATTTCAGAGTGACAGAAGAAGCTCTATGGTAATATTGGGGGATCTGATCACACCTCTCAGCATTGGAAAGATCATCTAGGCAACAAATCAACAGAGCAACCTTTATTCTTTCAGAAAGAGAGAAGATTCTAGGGTAATTAGAGGGGGGATGGGGAGAGATTGAACAAGGGGCATAAAGAATAATTACAATTTGTAACAATATATATGCTAGTAATATTGATTTGATCAACATATCTCAATGTTGAATCCCCCAAATATGTATAATCAATTTTGATTCAATAAATAACATTTTTTTAAAAAATGAAAGAGTAGAACATACTATGTTTTATGTTCCTTCTAGTTATATGATTCTATGAATGTTAAAGGAAACTGTAGATAAACTAGTTAAGTTACAATTTGAGATGTAGCCAGTATTTAAAGAACATTTTTTTTTTGTGTGTGTGTGTCTTTTTGTCTTTT